TCTTGGATTACGTTTACGGGATAGAAGTAAGTTGAGGTATTATCAAATGTTGTCATTTAAATTTCATTTTTATTATGCTTTAATAAACAACAAGTTGGTATTTGAAACTAAATTAATGCAATGAGCTGCAGTAATCAGAGGAAGGCACAATCTAATGCGAAACAGCTATTACCTAGATCATTTATTTAGTAATGAGATCAGGAAGATAGGAGCAATAAAGAAGCAAGGGACAGTTTCAAAAATAAATAAGGGATGGCAATTGGATGATAAATTACCAATATTACCTAAGTGATTGTTTAGGTAGGTGGTAATATTGACACATGGGCAGTGACATGTGTCAAGAGGGGGGATGATGGTAGATGGTAGGATTAAAGATAAATAGACGAAGTAAAGATTAAAAACTTTTTTTTAAACTTTTTTTTTTTAGATACAGTCTAGAAAGAGAATACTAATGTGAACAGTATGATTAGAGAGGGGTTAAGGAAAACACACAGGAGAACAGGAAGAAATGGGGTACAATGTCTACCGGTAGTATTAACTACAATCAGGAGAACTCCAGATAAAGAAGGGTTATTGCCATTGGAGAAGGGATTTGGTAGACCATACAGAATGCCCGAGTTAGGAGGACCGGAGCAGGCAGAAATAGAAATTGAGAGCACCCTAGTAGAACACATGAGAAGGTAGTTTATTAACCACACCTGTATGTCAGAGGTTTTGTGCCCCACAGGTGAACTAAAGGAGAAGGTGACCCACTCTATCTAACCAGGTGACTGGGTGTGGATCCAATCCTTAAAGAAGAAAAACTGGAAGCAGCCCCGTTGGGAAGGTCCATATCAGGTCCTGTTGGTGACGGCCTTCGCTGTAAGAATTGCGGAAAGATCCACCTGGGTGCATGTCACACACTAGTAGCTTAGTGGTTAAGAGCGTAGTGCCAGTAACCGAAAGGTCGCTGGTTCTAATCCCCGAGCCGACTAGGTGAAAAATCTGTCGATGTGCCCTTGAGCAAGGCACTTAACCCTAATTGCTCCTGTAAGTCGCTCTGGATAAGAGCGTCTGCTAAATAACTAAAATGTAAATGTAAATGTCTGTAAAAAGGTAAACCCAGCTACACCTGACGAACAAACACAGTTAGGAGAAAGAACCGATCACCACTAGGGCTCGGGGGTTGGCTCCTTAACGAAGATTCCTTTACCCTGTCTGATCATCCCTGTGTGAGTTCAATAGAAGGTAAAGCAATGGGTTGGCCTCTGGCATCTGACATGTTCTCAGGGCGAGGGTGGGGATTCACAGGTCTCCTGGCGGTAGGTAGCTGTCTGATTGTGAGGGCCATATTCCTAACACACTCAAACCCTCCTGATCAGCCAGAAGTAGTAGTTAACCTAACACAAGTTGATAAAATAATACCAGAGCACAGTCTACGTAGGCATAGGAGACAGCTAGACGTAGGGAAAGGGGAAGTACTAGGGACTGTAGGAAAGGACATCAACTTTGAGGTCTTTGCGGACCAGTTGGGGACTTGGGGACTACTGGCTGGTAGTATCGTAAAGGATGGGAGATATATATGTATGTCACCATGTACATCCTGGGACCATGTAGTTGCTCATACCGAGAGGGGGGGATATGTCAATCTCCATACACAGTTTAAGGACAGGTGCAGTATTGTGAAAGTAGGGAATTACCAGAAATGGCAGTGCGACCCATATAAGGGTAGGTACTGTCTGAAAGTCCGAATTACGCTAAAACAGGTAAAGGCTACGGATGAGGGAATGTGGTACATAGGATTTGACCCCAAATGTTGTGAAGACCCATTAGTGGCTTTCTGGGTAGTAATCAACCCAGCAGATGGTACAGACCTGACAAGTGAGATATCCTCTTCAATTGGGGCATATAGAGTACACCTCTCTGAGGGAGGTAGGGAGACAGAGGCTGTGGTGAAGATAGTGCAAACTATAGACCTGAAGGAAGTAGTACAGGTGGAGACTGGGTATAGGGATCCTAACCTGTGGTTGGAATTGGATTCAGTATACGGCAAGAACTATGTCTAAAGAGGACTGTTATGCCTGTGGGACAGCCAAACCAAGGTTAACAAGTACTCCGTTCCCCTTGACAGGCTTTAACACTCCGTCAGGTTTATCCTGCATGATTAAATTGTTCAAGCCACCTGGGAATGTGGTGAAGGAGTCTTGTAGTAACTTGTACTATCTGTATCCCCGATAACAAAGTCACCCCGACCTAGGTTACCTCTGTTTGAAGTCTCAGGGGATTATTATTATTGTTTTTCTAGGACTAATAAGATAGGATACAGGGTAGGGCATCTTAGCTCCTGCTCCCACACAGAGAATGTCACAACTAAAGAGACCATGACTAATCTCTCCTCTTTGTTGCAGCCAGAGGATTTTAGGAACCAAAACCAGGCCCGTGCTGACATCTGGTGGTTGAGTGGTGATAACAGATTGTGGCCTCACCTACATAGACTGGTGAGTTGTCTCGTAGAAAGCGGGACCTCCTCCCGTGATCCTTTGATGAAAGGATATATATATATTGATGGGATAGGAGTACCTCTAGGGGTTCCAGAAGAATTCAAAGCTAAGAATCAGATCGCAGCTGGGTTTTTCTGGTGGTCAACAATTAATAAAAACGTAGATTGGATAAATTATATTTACTATAACCAGCAAAGATTTATAAACCACACTCGTGATGCAATAAAGGTATTGGCTGAGCAGACAGCGGCAACTAGCTTAATGGCATGGCAGAATAGAATAGCTTTAGATATGCTTTTGGCTGAGCAGGGCGGAGTTTGTGTTCTGTTTGGATCTATGTGCTGTACTTTCATCCCCAACAATACAGCACCGGACGGGTCTGTGAACAAAGCTCTTCAGGGACTCACCACGCTGGCGAACGAACTGGCCGAGAACTCTGGTATTGATAGCTCCCTAAACGGTTGGTTTGATAACATGTTTGGTAAATGGAAAACTATTGTTGTAACTATTCTGGGTGCAGCTATAGCTTCTATGGGTATACTTGTTCTTTGTGGATGTTGTCTTATTCGCTGTGTCCGAGGGTTGGTGATCAAGGCGTTGGAGCATGCAGTATAACAGCAGATGGTGAGATACGGCCCAATCCTGTACTCCGACTAACCGAATGAAGAATATGACCCACCAGGCTTGGTGGAGGACGACGACGATTCAGATAGTTTGAGACTGGATGTTTTCCTATAACTATAAATCTCTAGTTTAAAAGTAATTGTAATGATTTTCTGTGTATTAAAGTGTGGATAATTTAGTCAAAGGGTGGATTGATATAGAAATTAAAATATATACAGGTAAAAAAATTATGACTAAATGTTCCACCCTTAAATATAGTTGTGAAATGTTCTTGTTTTAAGTATGATTAGTACTTTCTTAGTAGTGACTAATTATTATACTCCGAAACTGTGTGAGATGTGTTAGAATCTACTACCTGGTAATGTGTGAGTGTAGGACCAGTAAAGACTATGACATTGAGCTACTATTTAGCAATGTGGGTAAGAGTTAGACCAGACAACAAAGGACAAGGAGAACTGTCTACAGGCAACTGAGAAACCAAGATAACTGAGGAATTTAGGGAGGAGAGAAACTGTTAGGCTTAGAAGTGTGTATGTGTGTGTGTGTGTGTGTGTGTGTGTGTGTGTGTGTGTGTGTGTGTGTGTGTGTGTGTGTGAACTGATGGTCAGGAGAGCAGTTTTAAAGTGGAAAACTACATCCCGCCTACAGAGAGGAGGGATTTTTGTATGACGTATGAGTATAAAATATGGACTCTGACGAGAGACTGGGGTTGAGGTGGTTGGCCAGTGATGGCTCGACAACCGGTGGCTTGCTGAGGCCCAGCTCCTCCATGTCCTTGACATTCATGTTGGCAAAAAGTCAGGTTTGGACTTTGCCAATCAAGGGTTTGTCCCAATTACGTTTGGCTTCCGCCACACAAGCTGGGATAGCTGGGAGGAGTTGCTTGCCTGGGACGGTGCGAGAGGGGAGTGGACACATGACTGGGGGTCGTCGAACGTTGCTTGCGCGTGTTCGAGACCCAGGCAGACAACATACAGGGTGTGCGTGTCTTTGCCTGATATGGTGACCCACATGGACACCGATTTGCCGGTGCTGGGGCAGGGGCTTTGCTCGGTACTCCTTGGGCCAAGATAGCAGGCTCCATGGCTCCAGAAAACACCTAAGAACACCGAGAACAAAGTGAAACATAGCTAGCGTTTGCCTCGCGGGCAAGTAGCCTAGCTAGTTAGCACAATGTTAGCCAAAGGAAGCTAGCGCTTTGTTGGTCTTGCAACGAACAAAAGTGTGGCTCTCGACCAATAAGCAGTGAAGCTAGGATGGTCGATCTAGTCACTGCGGCACGGTAGTGGGTTGAGCTAAACGAGAGGGCAAGCTATTCATTTTACCCTTCCAGGTAGAAAGCTAGTCGGTAGGATAGCAAGCCTTGTGGCGAGCTAGCCAGGTTAGCTAAGCCTTGCAGCTAAGCTAGCCAAGTCTCAGTTGCTAGCCGTGTGGCGCTAGCTAGCAAAGGAGACAAAGGTAAGAAAAAGCATAAAAGCTCATTCTTGCCTGAAGCGAAAACATTCGTTTCGGTAAAGTCAACCAACACAGAAGACGAGAGCTGAAAAACGTGTGCTCGGCGTCGTAACCTCGTGGCACACCTGTGAACAGTTTAACATGAAAACAGATCAAGTCGTGCTAAGGAGCACTTAGAGTAGAGGTGAGAATGACCAGAGGGCGGGCGAGTGGCTCCTTATGATGAGGGGAGGGGCTCACCACGTTCGCCACTCGACCTGTCTGTCTCTGACAGACGTGTGTGATTGGTTCTTCGAGCTTCTGAGATTCTGGAGAATCCCACATGTGAGATATGAAAACGAATAATAAACAAAATAACTCTAATCCTTGACCAGTTTTGTTTTTGTTTTGTTTGTTAGTTCAGTGGTTCCCGACAGTACATGGAGAGAGGGTTAGGCTTACCTTGGTGCTGATGAGTTTGGAGACTACGTCTCGAGCGTGGACGTCGATGGTACAGATGGTCATGATCTTCTGACGGTCTCCTCTGGACAGCTCTCCAATCAGCAGCGTGATCAGAGTGTTCAGCTGGGTCACCTGTTTCTTGAAGTAGTCCTTGAGTGCATTCTCATAGCCCTCTTCCAGCCTGGCGAATGCTATGCCCACCTCTGTGGTCCACCAGATTTGAGTGGTGGCCAGGGCAATCTGGAACACAACACAACACAGGTTGAGATATGCACTCGTAACTCAAATTTCCGTGATGATTTTAGTTATGTGCACGCAAATCAAGATGGCGCTGCAGTGGATAACAGCCATTTTATGGGCTCCTAAGTTGTGTGATTTTTACACTGATCTTAACTTTTGTTGTACGTGTCTTCTCCATCATTTGAAAACAGTCGGTCATAGGAACATCAGAACAGCGATCACGAAACTCGATTTGGATGATAATTTCTACGTGTCGACAGCTCTGGACATTCTGCTCACTCCGGACCAAGCCCTAATCCCTGGGACTCGAAAGAGGAAGCAACGGTGCAAGAGAGGTAAACGCCATATTTAAGAGAGGCCACTCTCCATATTTTCAAGCATAGTGGTGGTTGCATCATGTTATGGGTATGCTTCTACTCGTTAAGGACTGCGGAGTTTGTCAGGATAAAAAATAAATGGAAAGGAGGCAAAATCCTAGAGGAAAACCTGGTTCAGTCTGTTTTCAACCGGACACTGGGAGATGAATTCACCTTTCAGCAGGACAATAACCTAAAACACAAGGCCAAATCTACACTGGAGTTGCTTACCAAGAAGACAGTGTGGCCAAGTTACAGTTTTGACTTACATCTACTTGAAAATCTATGGCAAAACCTGAAAATGGTTGTCTAGCAATGATCAACATCCAATTTGACAGAGATTAAATAATTTAGAAAATAATAATGGGCAAATGTTGCACAATCCAGGTGTGGAAAGTTCTTAGAGACTTACCCAGAAAGGCTCACAGCTGTAATTTCTGCCAAAGGTACTACTACAAAGTATTGACTCAGGGGTGTGAATACTTATGTAAATGAGATATTTCTGTATTTTATTTTCAATAAGTGTGCAAACATTTCTAAAATCATGTTTAAGCAAGAGATAAGTGAGAGTACAGACCTGGGCTGGGTAGTCAAACAGCCACTGTTCTCTGGGTTTCTCCTCGTAGGCCTGGACAGCCTCTCCAAACTCCACTCTCAGAGTGGCACACATCCTCTCCAGCACACGGTTCAGCCACATCTCCACCTGCACACAAACACAGAAGGAACATCTAAAAAATATTGCATAGCATTGACTGCAGTATGCAGAGCCCTAATGTAAGAGTTACACACTTAGTTATACAGTAGTATATGATTGTTTCCACACCTGTCCTGAGCAGTCACAGTCCTTGTCAAAGGAGACATACTCAATCTCTTCACTCCACATTCCCAGGGCCACCTTGATGGGCTTGCCACTCTCGTCCAGCTGGAACTTGAGGTTGGACAGGCTATCAAACAGCTTGGACAGGTGCTTGCTGACCTGCAGATGTGAACACAGGCAGTCACACACTGGAGATATGGGATAATATGTGGTCCGTTGCTGTGCTCTGTAGATGTACTGGCTGCCTGGAAGCGTACCTCCACAGGGTCGTTTCCATTGGACAGGATGTCCAGCAGGTCAGCAGAGGAGACAAAGTAGAACCTGGGGAAGGCCAGACGCTTGGTCTCCAGGTACTCAGCCAGAGCCTTCTCACACATAGCCAGTCTGAGGGGCAACACACAGGGAGATAACCATTAGAGTCAATGATTGGCATGATCAAACCAGGGCAACATTGGAATCTTATATAATGTAGCTATATCTGTTCTAAGCCGTTGTTTTACCCTGTCTCCAAACCCTCCAGTTTCTCCAGAAGCCCTTTCTTATTGGTGGACTCCACCACGTTGGTAACCTTCACTGCCTCAGCCATGATTTCCTTGAAGTCCGTGTCGATGCCGTCAAAGCGTTTGGAGTCTTCGGGCAGTTGGCAGCGGATGTCCTCGGAGCCAATGAAGATGCTCTCCAGATGGGTCCAGGTGCGCTGCACGGTGAACCAGATGGAGATGACGGAGTCTGCAGTGGACAGCCTATGCTGCCAGCCAGACACCTCCTCCAGGAAGTGAGCGATGTACTTGGAAGTCATCAGAGTCTGCAGCTGCACCTGAGGTCACCAGAGAAGAAGAACAGGGGTTAGTCACTGATGTCATACATCTCCATAGTCATCAGGAAGTACATCTGCACAGGGAGCCAAATGATGGAAGTCCCAGTGAATGGAACTCAATGGACAGATCTCAAATGACACTCTACAGTACACTACTGGTACTGCATGAAATGAGTGTGGTGACTGCCTATCTAATCCTGTTTGATGTGGTTGTGGGTGTGTGTTGTGTGTTGTGTACCTGGTTGTCCTCCAGAGTCTCCACCAGCTCCTCGTTGGGTTTGAGCAGCATGGTGCCTGTCCGGCCGTGAGGCTCGTGTTCAAAGACCATGGAGCTCCACGTGCTGTCCAGCTCGGCCAGAGTCTGAGGGGAAGGGAGGAGACCACAGGGCAGGGGTTAGCAGGGGGAGAGAGACTAAAAGGCCTGTTCACAATAATCACTAACCACTAGCCTATAATCACTAGCCTAACCACTACAGTTTCTATATGTGTCCTCACCTTCTCCATGCCAGACTCCTTGACGGCCTTGTCCACGATGCTGCGCACCTCGTCCTCAAACTGGTGCAGGTTGAGCTTCAGCAGGTCCTCAAAGGTGGTCTTCTCAGACATATCAAACTTCACCTTGGGGTGGACATGGATTACAGGTTCAGTAAAAGCTTTATAACCTAGCTCTTGGCTCTTGGATAAGGTATCAGCTCCTTATGACACATCATCAGTCCCGAATGCATAAGGAAATGTAGAGAAGTATTTTCCAAAGTCATTGGTGCATCCCAAATGGCATCCTACTCCCTATTTAGTCCTATAAAGGAATAGGGTGCCATTTGGGACACAGCCATTGGTGCCGTTGACTGAAGCTGACTTGTACCTTGGTGGCCATCATGAGCTGCAGCCAGTGGCGGTCCCTGATGGCCGAGTTCTGCAGGTCTCCCACGGCGCGCAGTGATGTCATCATGTTCTTCACCATGCTGTCCAATCCGGTAAAGGTGTCCCAGGCCCTCATCTCCTTGTCCAGCCCCTTGATGTCCTTGGCGTACTTCTTGGTGTCCATATCCATCCCCTCCACGTTGATGTCCTTCCACAGGGTGGTCTTCCAGTCATCCATGTTCCCGCGCACCTGCAGCCACAACCAGCACACTGTCACTCACTGTCTGTCAATCTATTGAATCAGTCTCACTGATTATCTAACCATTGACACAGGCCAGCATAAGACCAGAGTAGAGAAAGCTCCATACAAGATGAATCGCAAATATCTATCAAACAGAGTGACACTATTGCATGCATCCAGATTTTTCTCCACATAATGTTATGCTTTTTTTCAAAACACCAGTATGCCTTTGAGCTGTGGCGTCTTACCAGCAGGATCATGTCCCAGAGTTCTTTAAGCAGGACGATCTCCTTGCGGCAGGTTTTGAGCTGTTTGTAGTCGGGAACATTCACCTCAAACAGACCGGCTGAGTCAGACAGGCCCTCCATCTCTTCCTCCAAGCCCATGATGTCCATCTGAATCTGTGGTTTCACACCGGATTGGAAGGTTTAGAGTTTATACTCAACACAGAGTTGAAATTAGATCCACAAAAGATTTTGAACTACTCACATCATCGAGAGCCCCGTGTGGGTCTTCAAAAGAGAATTGGAAGAAGGGCTGCTGTCTGAACTTCTCTCTAAACTCATACTGTTTGATCTGTGGGGATATGCAAGGACACAAAGCTTCACACCATGCCCATACAGTATCTCTCTCCTTGTCTGTCGTCTCTATGTGATTTACATAGATGTAGCTACATATACCTACAGTGAGGGGAAAAAATATTTGATCCCCTGCTGATTTTGTACGTTTGCCCACTGACAAAGAAATGATCAGTCTATAATTTTAATGGTAGGTTTATTTGAACAGTGAGAGACAGAATAACAACAAAAAAATCCAGAAAAATGCATGTCAAAATTGTTATAAATTGATTTGCATTTTAATGAGGGAAATAAGTATTTGACCCCCTCTCAATCAGAAAGATTTCTGGCTCCTAGGTGTCTTTCATACAGGTAACGAGCTGAGATTAGGAGCACACTCTTAAAGGGAGTGCTCCTAATCTCAGTTTGTTACCTGTATAAAAGACACCTGTCCACAGAGGCAATCAATCAATCAGATTCCAAACTCTCCACCATGGCCAAGACCAAAGAGCTCTCCAAGGATGTCAGGGACAAGATTGTAGACCTACACAATGCTGGAATGGGCTACAAGACCGGCAAGCAGCTTGGTGAGAAGGTGACAACAGTTGGTGCGATTATTCGCAAATGGAAGAAACACAAAAGAACTGTCAATCTCCCTCGGCCTGGGGCTCCATGCAAGATCTCACCTCGTGGAGTTGCAATGATCATGAGAACGGTGAGGAATCAGCCCAGAACTACACAGGAGGATCTTGTCAATGATCTCAAGGCAGCTGGGACCATAGTCACCAAGAAAACAATTGGTAACACACTACGCCATGAAGGACTGAAATCCTGCAGCGCCCGCAAGGTCCCCCTGCCCAAGAAAGCACATATACAGGCCCGTCTGAAGTTTGCCAATGAACATCTGAATGATTCAAAGGAGAACTGGGTGAAAGTGTTGTGGTCAGATGAGACCAAAATCGAGTTCTTTGGGAGGAGGAATGCTGCCTATGACCCCAAGAACACCATCCCCACTGTCAAACATGAAGGTGGAAACATTATGCTTTGGGGGTGTTTTTCTGCTAAGGGGACAGGACAACTTCACCGCATCAAAGGGACGATGGACGGGGCCATGTACCGTCAAATCTTGGGTGAGAACCTCCTTCCCTCAGCCAGGGCATTGAAAATAGGTTGTGGATGGGTATTACAGCATGACAATGACCCAAAACACACGGCCAAGGCAACAAAGGAGTGGCTCAAGAAGAAGCACATTAAGGTCCTGGAGTGGCCTAGCCAGTCTCCAGACCTTAATCCCATAGAAAATCTGTGGAGGGAGCTGAAGGTTTGAGTTGCCAAACGTCAGCCTCGAAACCTTAATGACTTGGAGAAGATCTGCAAAGAGGAGTGGGACAAAATCCCTCCTGAGATGTGTGCAAACCTGGTGGCCAACTACAAGAAACGTCTGACCTCTGTGATTGCCAACAAGGGTTTTGCCACCAAGTACTAAGTCATGTTTTGCAGAGGGGTCAAATACTTATTTCCCTCATTAAAATGCTAATCAATTTATAACATTTTTCACATGCGTTTTTCTGTTTTTTTTTGTTGTTATTCTGTCTCTCACTGTTCAAATAAACCTACCATTAAAATTATAGACTGATCATGTCTTTGTCAGTGGGAAAACGTACAAAATCAGCAGGGGATCAAATACTTTTTTCCCTCACTGTATGTGTTAAAAAGTACCTCAAATTGCTGGCATTTCCTTCGGACGATGTTAACTTCATGTGCTTGCAGTGGAGCCAAGTTCTGTTTGACTTGGAGGGACGTCTTTTTCACGTTATTCCAGTGCTCTGGAAGATCCTAAACCAAGACACATTGTTTCATGTTTAAAGGCTAAATAAAGATCAGCTCCTTGTTTTGTTATTAAGCAATGGAAACCCATGCGGTAAAGAGGTTCTGCCCTTGCTGAGAGAGCTATTAAACAATATCTCTAGTGATCCTAGATCTGTAGTAAGGTGCCACTTTTACCTGGAGTCAGATCTGTGTGTCGCTTACCTGTAGCTGAGCGTGGACCTCGTCAGGCAACTCCTCTCCAAAGTCTTTGAGGAACTGGATGGTTTCCTTGAGAGGGGAGAACATGGTGTCTGTGGCCGCCTGTCTGTCTTTCATCCTCATCAGGTGACCCATGACCCCCACCAGGCCTTGGTAATCCCCTTCCTCCACCGTCTTGGTCAGCCCATCCTTCACCTCCTTGATGAAGCCGTCCAGGTCCCTCAGGCTTGGGGAACACAAACACACACACAAACACACGCAGACAAAGACGCGCACACACACACACACAGCAGCAGACAATTAACAGTTGGAGAAAGTCTTCATCCAACCAATGAGTCCCATTCTGAAGGTCTTTAACGCAACACCCAGCAGTACTAGTGTTCTGTATCTGTGGGTCTGTACCTGTTGGTGACTCGGTCTATGAGGAACTGTTTGAACATGAGGCTCCAACGTTTGATGGTGTTGAGCAGGGCGTGTTTGAAGGGACGGATGTCGATCTGGAGCCAGTGCTGCAGCACCTGGAAGTGCTCCAATTTGCTCACCTCCCTGTACAGTTTCTCATACATATCAATCTGTAGGGGGACACACACAGCAAACTCACTGGGACCAACCCTGGAGAACCTAACACTCCTACATCAGTGTAGGCTGCTGAGGGGAGAACGGCTCATGTGTTTGATGTATTTGATACCATTCCACCTATTCCGCTCCAGCCATTACCAAGAGCCGTCCTCCCCAATTAAGGTGCCACCAACCTCCTGTGTCCTACATAGGCTGTTAGAGTCCCTACTGTGTTTTAGGGGGTGCATCCCAAACGGCACACTATTCCCTAAAGACTGCACTACTTTTGACCAGAGTCCTATGGGAATAGGGTGTCATTTGGGACGCAGCCAGGGACTTCTTTCTGTACCTCTTCCTTGAAATCTTTGAGCGTGGGGGGTTTTTTGGGCACGCTGTCCTCTCCGTGCAACTCAATCTCCTCTGGGGTAAGAACTTTGCCATAGAGGAGGAACTGCTCCATGAACTCGTCCCTGTCATCCTGCCACAGGTAGGCGTATTTATAGAGCACGTCCCGGTACTCCTGGGCCTCTTTCATGGCCCCAACCACCTGGTTCAACACATTCTCACGCATGTCTGACAGCTCTGAAATCTCATCCAACTCCAGCTTAAGGGAGGGACACACGGGAGAAACACACAAACACACACACCATAGTTTACACAGGGTACGATGGTTCAAAATGGGACACACACACAGGTAACATTCAATCTCACACACAGGGATGTACTCACATTGTAGCAAGTTTTGTTGGTCATTGATATCCGAGGAACTAGTTCAGCAGCTTTGTACACATCATGGATGAGACACTCGACCAGGTCGTAGAAGCCATCAGATATGCCATAGACCAAAGATGGGTAGAACGACGTGTCTCCATCATCCAACTCAAAACGCACCTCAAACAGCGGGTTTATACTCGCCTGCAAGTCAACACAACACACCAGTTAGTAGCACATAAAGGAATTTAACACATGACTGATATCTGTGAGGGTTTGTCTCCGGGACGAATTATACCTTGGCGAGCATGTTACTAGCAAGGAACTCGAGAGACACATGGACGACTTTAAAGAATCCGTCCAGGACTTTGTCATCGATGTAGTCGACATAGGCCATCCACGAGTCATTGCTCTCATCTGCTCTAAACAGCTTCTTATTCTCCTACAGACACCAGATACACAGACTCTTCAGCATGGCACACATATCACATACACTGATTGTACAAAACATTAAGAACACCTGCTCTTTCCATGACAGACTGACCAGGTGAATCCAGGTGAAAGCTATGATCCCTTATTGATGTCACCTGTTAAATCCACTTCAATCAGTGTAGATGAAGGGGAGGAGACAGGTTAAAGAAGGATTTTTAAGCCTAGAGACAATTGAGATATGGATTGTGTATGTGTGCCATTCAGAGGGTGAATGGGCAAGACAAAATATTTAAATGCCTTTAAACGGGGTATGGTAGTAGGTGCCAGGCACACAGATTTGTGTCAAGAACTGCAACGCTGCTGAGTTTTACGCTGAGCAGTTTCCTGTGTGTATCAAGAATGGTCCACCACCCAATGGACATCCAGCCAACTTGACACAACTGTGGGAAGCATTGAAGTCAACTTGGGCCAGCATCCCTGTGGAATGCTTTGGACACCTTGTAGAGTCCATGCCCCGACGAACTGAGGCTTTTCTGAGGGCAAAAGGGGGGGTGCAACTCAATATTAGGAAGGTGTTCTTAATGTTTTGTACACTCAGTGTACTGTAGTCTCCCATAGTGTACTTATTCACTGTTTGTTACATACTGTAAGTAGTAGTTGTTTCTTTACCTGTGTCAGTTGGTGGAGTTTCTCGCCAGACTCTTTGATGGCGGTGTACTTCTTGTTGAGGGCTGCTTGTCTTCCATCCAGGTCCAGCAGAGAGTCCTTATTGTCCTTCCTCTCAAACATGGGGCTCACAGACCACTCCTGTCAGTCACATCACAATACAACCATCACACCTCCCCTCCAGTGGTACCGAAGGGAAAGCAGGGGTGTGTTCTATCAGATAGACAGTCCTTACCTCCATGATTAGGTGCATGGCCTCCACGTTGGTCTTAGCCTTGTTGATTCTGCTCTCAAAGTCATGCAAGTTGTCTCTCATCTGCTGGATGTACTCCCACACACCTGGCACACACATAAGTGACAATTATGACCTGTTATGACTATGACTAGTAATGTTGTGATCATCACCCTTCAGTCCAGTACCTTCCCCGTGCCAGCTCAGAGTGCTCTCAGCCAGGGCCAGTTTCTCATCGATGCCCTTCAGCTCCTCCTCAAGCAGTGGAAACTCCACTGGCAGGACTGTGGCTAGGATCTGTGGATGACAGATACCACCTCAGAAAGTTTTTACATTGCGTTTGTGTCTTCAGTTGCAGTTTTAGAATAAAAACCAAACATACATGTATTCATCCATCTGTCTATGCCCCCCCTCCCAGTGTCCTGTCCTGTACCTGGTTGTACCAGGAGACGATGAGGTCCAGGTTGCCCACGTATTTCCTGAAGGTCTCACTCTGGGCAAAGACTTCAGCAGCGCTGGGAGGCATGTCCTGCTGGCCCTGGATGGTCAGATACTTCACCTCCCTCAGAACGGCCACCAGCTGCAGAGAGATAAACATGTTACTCCTTTCAAACCTCACACCACAGACCAGACAAACAGAGATATGGCTAACTCTTGCGTAGTCTGTTTAGTCTATAGAAAGTGTCAAGACAAAGTGTGTGTGTTTGGAGAGAGAGTGTGTGTGTGGGCTGTGTGTGTGTGTGTGTGTGTGTGCGTATGTGTGTGTGTGTGTGCGTGTGTGTGTGTATTTGGAGGGTGTTTCCCAGCCAGACCTGCTTGTTGAAGTTGACACTGAGGACATTGTTCTTGGTGTTGCGTAGAAGCAGAGGCTGCTCCAGGTTGAACTGGCAGTCAGTACCGACCCGGGACGTCCACTCTGTGTACACGCTCACACAGTACTGGTGCAGCAGCTCCATCATCTCTTCATACTTCTGGAACACCAGCCTGGCCTCATCCGTGTCCATACAACTGGACACAACACAACACACAGGACTGTTAGCCTCCACTATACACTGACAGCAACTGTCTCCAAGGCCATTTCAATGCATTTCATTTTAACATGCGTAGTCATAGTAAAAAAGTGAAAGGTGAGGAGTCTCAGATGCTTTTTGCATGGTTAACCAGCACACTGAGAGTAGTGTATACTAGAGTACGAGTGATGGACCATACTACAGCACGTACGGGTGGTGGATAGCCTTGAAGTGCTTCATGGGGATCTGGATGCGGTCTTGTACCTCCCGGGCCCAATTGAGTTGCCCGGCGACGTGGGGCATGTTTTTGGCAATGGGCGGGATGCCTTTACATGCCTCCACGGCTGCCATCTGGGCGTCGTACACCAGCTTGGTGCGGTCCAGCTCTGAGCTGAACATTTCCACCAGCTCCTTGTACTTAGACGAGATCTGGTTCTGGATGTGAGGGCGCTCCAGGATGAAGCCAAACATGTCCAACATCTACATGCAGGAGGAAATGGGAGGAGGTTTTGAAGAGTGACTTTCACTCCTGTACATACTTTAGGTATCAGAACACCTTACATTAGACTGACCTTGACAGCAGACTCTGTGGAGGCACAGTCATCAAAAGCCTGGCACAGGATGGTGCCTAACCGTCTCTCAAAGTCTAAGATCTGGTCCTGGAACTTCCTGAAGTTCTCATCAAAGCTCTGAGTGAGAGGGAAAGAGGAGCAACTCTGAACAACACAGCTGGCTCTGGCTCAGCATGTGACATTACACCATATTCCCTAGTAGTGCACTACTTTCGGCCAGAGCCAAGGTTGGTTACCTTGTTGCCTGTGTCAATGGCGTCGTATTTGCACTCGGCAAATATCTTGATGAGATTAAGGAACTCCTCGTAGATGTTGAAGACCATGTTTCCCAGGGCGCTGCCTCTGACCCCCTGGATGTCCACCTTCTCCAGCTTTAGCAGCTCCACTGACACCGCATACACCTCCTACCAGACACAGGTCAGCCTAGTGTGTGTGTGTGTGTGTGTGTGTGTGTGTGTGTGTGTGTGTGTGTGTGTGTGTGTGTGTGTGTGTGTGTGTGTGTGTGTGTGTGTGTGTGTGTGTGTGTGTGTGTGTGTGTGTGTGTATGTGTACCTCTATGGTCTGTAGACGCTGCAGGAAGGCATCCAGCCTGGTAAACACCAGGTGTGAAGGGAAATCCCAGTTCTTTGAGTTTCCATTCTAGAACACACAACAGTACCAAGATATTTTACTTTAGTCATAGAGTTGTAACACTTGAAGGTTTGATTAAATGTTGTCTTGAGTGATGGAAAATAGGTGAGAGTGTAAGAATGTCTACTGACTTTGAAGTATTTGTCCATGTCAACTTTGCACTGGTCGTAAGTCTCTCTGAGGGTCACCAAGGTGACAATGCTCATCCTGATGTTTCCCAGAATCTCGACGATCTCCCCCATAAGGCCCTTCATCACCTCCTCTGGACCCAGGAAGTTCCTCGTCTGCAGCACACAGGAGGACAGTCTTCAAATTATGAATGTATGTAGCTGTTTTATTTAGACTTTGACAGTGTCTAGGTGAAATGTGTTTGTGTAGTAGGGGCTAGGTCTGAGAAGTGTCTAGGGGAGGGGACTAGGGGGTAAGAGCTAGTATATTCTGATTGGAGTTATTGAAAAGACATTGAAAAGACATGCACTTTGAAAAAACATCACTGCCAAGTACCATATCAATGAAGAGGTTGCAGATCTCTTGGAGGATGACAATGATCCTGGCAGGGTGGCTGTAGTGCTCTGAGTTAGCCCAGGTCAGACACACCGTGTGCATCACAGCTCCCACGTAGGTTGGCAGCTGCAAATAGGACAGAGGGAAAAGGTGTAAAGTAAAGGTTGAAAAGGTTAATAGGATGGACACATGAAGCTGTTTTCACCTGTGAGTACTCCAACTGGTCAATCTCATCAAGTATCTTCTGCAGTGGCTTCAGATAAAGCACAATATCCCGTGCTTCCGTCCGACCTACAGTGGAGGAGGGTGGCATAACATAAAATGCATGCAGGTCAACAACCATTTGTGTTCAGAGAGAGAAATCTGAGTTAGTGAAAACTTTGTTTTACCTTCATTGATATCCTTGTAGATACTCTTCAGTGCTGGCCAGTAGGTACTTGATGCATTTTCAACAATTTCTGCCATCTTGCGCACTTTTGGATCCATCAACTACAGAAGAAAGAAAGGACCATGACCAGTTGACCTATCGGTATTCACACTCCTGATACCTGCTCGAGTTAGGGCTTCATTCAATCAGACTGACATCCGCATAGCGTTGTTTTGGCGGTGTCGGAGGTGGAACTGCATTAGAGCTGTCAAATCCACAAGCGGCTCGTTGCGTTACCTTACCTTATCGCAGACACTGCCATTGGATACAACTAAACCACACAGACTATAATCCGACAAAGCCCATGCAGCCGCGTTAGAGGTTCATGCAGCCGCGTTACAAATTCAAACACTCGAATTAGACTGATAGGCATAAATCCTCCATCAATAGTTTGACATTCGAGAGTCATTATTGCTAACATCGATACAGCCTGCTATTTCTACTAGCACCGTTTAGAACTTCTAACGCAGTAGGTATAATAAGGAAGGGAGTAGTTTGTGACACACAAGAGCAGCCGCTCACCGATATGTCAGCTCATACCTAGCCCAGGATGTACTCTTAAAGGAGCCTAATCGGCCCTTCTCTATCGGCTTTGCCGATAGTCCCTCTACATAGCAAAACTGCTGCTATGCCAGCCGCCACTCACCACCTGGGCCACGAGCACTGCACAATGCCGAGGAATGTCTAGCTGGAAAAATCATCAGCAGCAAGCTAGCTCATTCTACAACAGAAAGGTGCAGTATTGAGAATTAGATGAATTGACACAGTGACCAAAATCAACCATCCGCAATCGTATCTGTAAATTGACAATTGATAGTTGGATTAGATGATTGTCGTAATAGGGAAAGAATAAAGTGTTTTAAAATGCCTAAATAAAGGTTGGCAATAGGTTTAGCTACCTAAGAATCTTCCTGCATGTTTATGGACCATGAAAGCTATAGATCAGTGTGCGTGTGTGCGTTCTCACTTCTCAAACTATGGGCAGATTTGAGTCATTCAGACAGAACGTGCGTCATTGTTTTATCATTTTTCCTCCCCTCGCTCTCCTTGTTAAATATTATGCACATTTATGGCTTTACACCATTGAGCTAATTCTCATAGTAGCAGTAAACAGCAGTAAGTGATATGAGCAGCAAGTGATATGAGCGATGGGAAGATGTGAAAGGGAGCGGAGTTACAGCCTCGCTCTATCCAATCGTAGCAGTAGGATCAAGTTACAACCCGCCCATTTCTTGACAGATAGCTGAACTAGCCAATTTAGTTGTTTCACATTTCGAGAGTCCCGCCCAGTCCCGCCCTGTTCAGCTCCCTCGCCCATGCTCGTGTCGCTCAACGGTTCCCCCGCCCACTCTCGCTTTCCTTCCATTGAAAGTGAATGACACCACCAAAACATCTGCTATGTAGTGGTGGGGAGTCAACTCCAAAATAATCAATTCCTCGACTCCTTGCCCGCCGACTCCCGGTGTCGACTCCCGTTTGTGGGTGTCAGCGGAATCGACTCCTCGACTCATAAGATTCAGTATTTCTGCAATGGAGGAAACTATTTGCCATAGTCTACATCCGAGAACACAAACTCTTGCATCTTTACCAGCAAAGCACAAGCTAGCGAGGGAGGGAGAGAGAGGGAGGGGCACAGCCATAGGTAGGCATGACAGCCACCAGGCACAGTCAGAACCGTGCATCGGTAATCAAAAGATGTATAGGCTATCGCAATGTCGAACTATCGCAATGTCTCGCGCAAGTTCACTAAAGTGGGGGCTATCAATGAGTAGGCTGAGCGATTCTTCACGCAACAGACCGAAGACGAAACACACACTATCGTTTTTGATTGCAAAGAGAAAGAGCAGGCAAGCCAGCGAGGGAGAGAGGATCGGGGCAGGCAGACACAGTCGGAACCGTGCGCATAGGCTATATCTTGGTAATCTGTATCTCGCAACGTCTTGTCTTGCAATGCCTCGTAAATTGACTAAAAGTACAGTACCAGTCAAAAGTTTGGACACACCTACTCATTCAAGGGTTTTTCTTTATTTTTTACTATTTTCTACATTGTAGAATAATAGTGAAGACATCAAAACTATGAAATAACACATATAGAATCATGTAGTAACCAAAAAAGTGTTAAACAAATCAAAATATATTTTATATTTGAGATTCTTCAAATAGCCACCCTTTGCCTTGATGACAGCTTTGCACACTCTTGGCATTCTCTCAACCAGCTTCACCTGGAATGCTTTTCCAACAGTCTTGAAGGAGTTCCCACATATGCTTAGCACTTGTTGGCTGCTTTTCCTTCACTCTGCCGTCCGACTCATCCCAAACCATCTCAATTGGGTTGAGGTCGGGGGATTGTGGAGGCCAGGTCATCTGATGCAGCACTCCATCATTCTCCTTCTTGGTAAAATAGCCCTTACACAGCCTGGAGGTGTGTTGGGTCATTGTCTTGTTGAAAAACAAATGATAGTCCAACTAAGCCCAAACCAGATGGGATGGCGTATCACTGCAGAATGCTGTGGTAGCCATGCTGGTTAAGTGTGCCTTGAATTCTAAATACATCACAGACAGTGTCACCAGCAAAGCACCCCCACACCATAACACCTCCTCCATGCTTTACGGTGGGAACTACACATGCAGAGATCATCTGTTCACCCACACCGCGTCTCACAAAGACACGGCGGTTGGAACCAAAAAAAAATTATCCAATTTGGACTGCAGACCAAAGGACAAATTTCCACCGGCCTAATGTCCATTGCTCGTGTTTCTTGGCCCAAGCAAGTCTCTTCTTATTATTGGTGTCCTTTAGTAGTGGTTTCTTTGCAGCAATTCGACCATGAAGGCCTGATTCACACAGTCCCCTCTGAACAGTTGATGTTGAGATGTGTCTGTTACTTGAACTCTGTGAAGTTTCTCTCTGAAGTCGTTTCTCTTTGCTTATTTGAGCTGTTCTTGCCGTAATATGGACTTGGTATTTTACCAAATAGGGCCATCTTCTGTATACCTCCCCTACCTTGTCACAACACAACTGATTGGCTCAAACGCATTAAGAAGGAAATAAATTCCACAAATTAACTTTTAAGAAGGCACACCTGTTAATTGAAATGCATTCTAGATGACTACCTCATGAAGCTGGTTGAGAGAATGCCAAGAGTGTGCAAAGCTGTCAGTAAGGCAAAGGGTGGGTACTTTGAAGAATCTCAAATATAAAATATATTTTGATTTGTTTAACACCTTTTTGGTTACTACATGATTCCATATGTGGTATTTCATAGTTTTGATGTCTTCACTATTATTCTACAATGTAAAAAATAGTAAGAAATAAAGAAAAACCCTTGAATGAGTAGGTGTTTCCAAACTCTTGACTGCTAGTGTATATTAAAGTTTATATTAGGCTATCAATGAGTATGGCTAAGCTATTCTTCATAGTGCCAGTGAATTGAAGTTGAACATCGCCAAATGCATCAGTTTAATTAGGCCTAAATGTGCAATAAAAAGTATTGTGCCTAAAGCTTATTTAATGAAACCCTGGCTGGCTGTTGATGTCTTAGGTCAGGGTTCTCCAACCCTGTTCCTGGAGAGCTACCTTCCTGTAGGTTTTCACTCCAACCCCAGTTGTAACTAACTTGATGCAGCTTATCAACAAGCTAATTATTGGATCATATGCGCTAGATTAGGGTGGGAGTGAAAACCTACAGGAATGTAGCGCTCCATGAACAGGGTTGGAGAGCCCTGTCCTAGGCAATAGATCGCAAAGCAGGGCATTCCCGCTAAAGTTTTTGGAAATGACAAGTTCACTTTCTCATCTATAAACACATCTCAAGTGCAAATGCGCTTCAGCAGCTTAAATCAGCAGGATGGGGGCATTGTTAGTAGGAAGGACATCTACCATGGATCGCTAAAATAATGATTATGATCACACTTCATCAATTTAAATATTATGGGGACACCTATACATTTGGCAGCCAAGCACGAGTTATCAGTGTAGACTATTAACGTCTACACATGATGTTGAAATATCTTCACCCCTAAAATAAAAACCTCCAGGCTTCTGTCATAAGAGTCAATTAAATTGAAAAAAATAAAGAATTACAGGGGGCAATTAGGAAAACATTATCCTGTGTGAATCGTCCTCTGGATACGGCTATAACATGGCAAATAATAGGCTTATCAGTGTAGAGTGCACCCATGGGATCCTGCGCACAGCAGAAATATCTCTGAAATATTCTAGTTCCTAGACATCACCTTCTATATTCAAACAAAATAGGCATTTTATAGGCTAAGTTGCTGAGCAAATGGGCAGCATCATGCTCATGTCAGTCCTCTAGAACGCAAATGTTGTCTTCCTAGTCGGACTCTGCAATAATGAGGTGGTGTGTACATGTGTGCGCATCCGTTTCAGCATGTTTTGGTAGTCGAGCAAGAGTCGACTCCTTCAACTCCGACCACAGGAGTCGGAGTCGAGCAAGAGTCGACTCCTTCAACTCCAACCACAGGAGTCGGAGTCAACTCCAAAAATCCTGGAGTCGTGCACCACTACTGCTATGCAGCTGTCGGCCAACGCTGGTTAACACTGGTTATTACTGGCTATCCAGACTCCTTGCTCCGGCCAAACACTACGCTGCACCCACGGATGTTAGTTTCTTCACCACAATGAGTCTCGATCTGAGTACCTACCCAACCCTTCACCAAATGGGAGCACATTCGGGGCCATCTGATTGGTCCAGAAAATAATGGGTTGGGCCAGAGCCAGAACACACGTGGGTAAAGCGGCGGTTTGAAAATGTGTCATTGGCTTTGATACTCTAATTGGTTAGAGCTGATCCAATCGCTTATGACGTTGTTTTGTTCAACGCCTCTCCTCATCACAAACGACTTCAATGATGGCAGTCTCAGACTAAAGTATGTAGAGAACGACAGATCAACGGAATAATTTAGTGTGAGTCATCAGGCTTGGTTAAGGCTTGATCTGATTGAATCCAGGCCTTAGTTAGCTAATGCAGGTCCCCTTTCGCTGTCCATTCAGCACCACCCATTGTTGGCCTAACCCAATCAGAACCATGGACAGCTTCAGCACTGACAGCACACAAAGACACATGTTTCAAACAACAACAATATCATCTTTCATATTGTAAAATAGGGTACCTGTGCATAAATACACTCCAGGTTCATGAGTCTGTTGTTCCAGAAATCAAACTCCACTCTGGGCAGTGGGTTCAGACCGTCCAGGATCGGCTGGGCAGAGTCTTTACTAAGAACCTCTGTCACCTGGTGTGTCCAGTCGATTATCACCGTCTCAAAGGCATGCATCAACTTACTGTCAATGGAATGAGAGAGCCTGTATTGGGGGAAAGGAGATAATGCACTGTTTATTTTCAACGGTCAATGTTTTATGCGATTTGAGTCTTTAGGGGAGGTGACAGTCTAATACCGGTAGGTGCATTCTGAATCTCCAAGAGCATCTGCGTTTGCTGGTAATGGCAGGAATGTTCTGCCTTTGATTTGACCTCCAACGACGAACACTTCATTCTTCAGTTTGTGTGCATGGCGAGACACATCATCTGAAACCACCCTGGGCCAGCATCTGGTGTTGTCTTTGTTGGTGTGTAGAGGGTAAGCAATCTAGAGAAACACTTGTTTAATTTATGAGCGACCGTTTAATTTATCAATAGCTACAACCAGTGCTTGACTTGGGTAGGCGCTCACTGCAGCCGAGTACCAGCACCTCAAATGTTCTAACTACTGCTTGAGCTGCTGTTCCTCTTGTAGCTAGAATATTAGCTCAAAAGTATTGTGGAGCTCCTGCACCTAAATATAAACAGTACCGGCACCTATTTCAGTCCAAGTCAAGCATTGGCATGTGGACTGTAGTTGACATTTGCCTAGCTAGGCGGCCTGGCCTAACATTACTCACCCCCTCAATTGCGCCGATTGTAGCGTCCACTGGGGAATTCGCGACGTCTCCAATAAATACATTCTTTATATTGTCTTTTGTAATAACCTCTTTATCCTTCTTGATAAAATATACAGCTTTGTTTTTAATTGTTTGCGGAAACTCAAGGCTGCAAACAAGTTGGGATGCAGCATTTAGAGAAATAACAAGGCTATTGATGTCGGATTTTTCAATGAAGTTGCCGATCAAAATTCGGGTTTCCTCCCCAGCAATAAACTTCTGCCATTTGTCCGGCTTCAACTTTAGTGTCTTTAAAGTCACGTTCTGTAAAAATGCAATCCTCTTATCTTCTCCCTCCATGTTATCCTACAGTTTTTTGACAGCCACCGTCAGCTATTTGCTAGCTACCGTTAACTAGCTACGTTAGCTAGCTATTCCTAAATGTTCAGTGTATGTCAATCTTACCAGCTAACGTTAGCTAGCTAGCTAAACTACTAAACTTCAACTGACAAAACGTTGGAAATCAAATTTGAAATACATTCCTCGTGCTCAGAATGTTCACCCATTCCTAACGGTTTTTGTTCGGACTGTCAATCAGCGCTAAAGGCTCGAGCTATGGAATGTGGACCATATCACTGCTGTGTCCATAGTATTAGGTGGATCTCTATGGCTGTCTCTATTTGTGTCTCCTATGGCTGTCTCTATTTGTGTCTAGTGTGGTTAAACCCAATGGCAAAATCTCTAAAGATCTGTGTTAACTTCACCTGTCAAGTCAAATATTAAACAAAGAAAGCAAATATGAGACTAGCATGAGATTTATTTCTGATAATCTGAAATCAAATAAACCAAAATATGATGACATAAACAAGCACAAACCTTTATGATACAAAACAAAACTTTACAATAAATTATATGCATTATTGATAAATAAACGAATCTAATTCAAGCTTGATTTACATTTCATAATCAGTGCATTGAGAACAAAACAATTGCTGATTAATTTATCTGCCAATGAAAAACTAAAACACAGCCCTCCAAAGGGCACATTGATGACAGAAATGCATCTCTCTGATAACACATTTGTAACAGACAGCATACAACTGTATAATAACACTGTAATAAGGTCTTAATAAAAAAGAATCCTTCCCTGCAAACTTACTGCTGCTTCTGCAAAAGTACTTTTGTCACAGTATCAGAATAAGACACTGAATATTTCAACCTGAGCAAAGTGATATATTACGATCCTTTATGTTTCCGTCTCTTCTTCTTCATTTATTTATCCCCCTCCCTCCATGCCTCCTTCTTCCACATGGCTGTGCAGTTGTAGTAACAGAGGTATCAAAACAAACAACTTTTTTTTTAAACGATTGAGCTGACTCAGCTCCCATATCTCACCCCTGGATCACTGACACAGCCCAATGACCCGGAAACATTTAACAAACATGGAAACAAACAACAAAGTATCATCTAGTATCGTAAGGGGTGAGAGAGAGAGAGAGAGAGAGAGAGAGAGAGAGAGAGAGAGAGAGAGAGACGGTGAGAGAGAGAGATAGAGTGAGAGCGAGACAGTGAGAGAGAGAGAGCGAGAGAGAGAGAGAGAGAGAGAGAGAGAGAGAGACAGTGAGAGAGAGAGAGAAAGACAGTGAGAGAGACAGACAGAGAGAGAGACAGTGAGAGAGAGAGAGAGTGAGAGAGAGACAGCGAGAGAGAGAGAGAGAGAGAGAGACAGTGAGAGAGAGAGAGAGAGAGAGAGAGAGAGCGAGAGAGTGAGAGACAGTGAGAGACAGAGAGAGAGAGAGAGACAGTGTGAGAGAGAGAGTGAGAGCGAGAGAGAGAGAGACAAAGACAGTGAGAGAGAGAGAGAGAGAGACAGCGAGAGAGAGAGACAGCGAGAGAGAGAGACAGCGAGAGAGAGAGAGAGAGCGAGGAAACAGTGGTGGTTCGTTATGGGAACCATTCAGAAAGAGATTATGCTCTGTAGTAACGACAGCACTATGAGAAGAAGAGGTTTGTGTAAAAAGAGGTTAATGTCGCCTTCCTCTGTTCAGTGGCGCAGTGGTCTAAGGCACTGCATCGCAGTGCTAGCTGTGCCACTAGAGATCCTGGTTCGAATCCAGGCTCTGTCGTAGCCAGCCGTGACCGGGAGACCCATGGGGCGGCGCACAATTGGCCCAGCGTCGTCCAGGGTAGGGGAGGGAATGGCCGGCAGGGATGTAGCTCAGTTGGTAGAGCATGGCGTTTGCAACGCCAGGGTTGTGGGTTCGATTCCCAAGGGGGGCCAGTATGAAAAAATAAACTGTAAGTCGCTCTGGATAAGAGCGTCTGCTAAATGACTAAAAATGTAAAATGTAAATTTTATCCCAAAGCAAAATATTGCATTATGTAACTTCCTGTAGAGGGCGCTGAAGGAGGAGGTCCAATCCTCTCTGCATCCTGATCTCCATCCCAAACCCGTGCCCCTTCAAAATCCTTCCCCTCCAGTGTTTGTGAATCTGAAGAAAGCAACATGTAATCAATATGATGACAGCTTCCACCTTTCAGACTGCTTTCTTATGTACACAGTTCCATGGGTCCTTTAGTTCAGGTCCATTGTCCATAGACACTGGGCTATAGAGTAGAGTGAGGCCTGCTTCTCCTGCTGAAGTGCTGGAGCATGGGTCTTTCCTACAGGCTAGTCAGAGCCGACACCTTCTTCTTCCGGGCTGCCAGCATCTCGTAGAAGGGGTCCCTGCTGATGGCTTTTCTACAGGGAAGAGAGGGAAGAGCAATATTGATTTCACATTTGGCTTGGGACTAGAGCAGGATTGTACATTTCAAGGATAGGACATGACGGAAGTAAGAGATAAGGGTTGTGTCCCAAAAATCTCTCCTTTCTCCCAAAGTGTGCACTTGTTCACTTTCCTTCATGGATATGAAAGGAAATGACTGGTATAAGTCCCCCTTGCCCTACACCAATCCAATGCTTTTACATTTGTGGGGAGTAGTGAATGTGTGTACACTTCAGAAAGACGGAGAGGTTATTGGGACAGCCAAGATCTCACTTGATGCTGATGATCCATTCCTCCTTCTCCTCGGCTGTGGGGGCGGAGATTCGATAGAAGGTGTGGTTGCCCTGGACAACGCGTCCGTCCGCCTCGGTCTTACACGCCTTGATCACCTGATCCTTGTGGTCCGGGATGAACAGCTCAAAACAGTTCTGAGAGAGAGCGAGAGAAAGAGAGAATGGGGGAGAGAGAGAGAGAGAGAGAGAGGTGTGACTCAGAGGCTTCTAAAATGAAACTGGCAGGAGAAAGAGCACAGGAAAAGAGAAAGAGAGAGAGAGACGGAGAGAGAGAGAGAGGGGGAGAGAGAGAGACAGATAGAGAGAGAGAGGGGTGGAGAGAGAGAGAGAGAGAGACAGAGAGAGAGAGAGAGAGAGAGAGAGAGAGAGAGAGAGAGAGAGAGAGAGAGTAACTTACTGGTTTCTTAGAGTCGTCCACCTCTCTAATACTAAGATTCTCCAGAGGGATGATACCCCTAGGCTCCTTATCCTGGAGGGAGAGGGGGAGAGTAGAGAAGGTTACAGCTCATAATTGGTATATTGAAAGCAATGGAGAAAAAGCATGACAGAAAAAGAGCGAGGAATAGAAAGAGAGAAAGAGCAACTCACAGTAGTGTACTCAAAGTAGTACAGGCAGTTGTCTGTGAGGATGAACCATCGTCTCTTCCACGTCTTCACACGCCCTCCTGAGGGGGTTAAAGGTCAGAGTTAAATCAGGATTCATAAGATCACAGGGTTAGAAGAAGCTAAATGCACAGATTAAAGTTGCCCCTAGACACTCCAGACAGACGGTAGCACAGACATTAGCCAGTACCAGGCAGGAGCATATGGGCGTGTTCCAGGTCGTCTTTAATGCAATCATGCTTCTCAGAAGGCACATCATGACGGCAACAAAGTCGACCATGAACGCAATGCATTAGATGAGATGTTGATTGGATGGTAGGGTTAGGTTTAAAGGTTGTTTGCGTTTAGAGGTTGATACCCTTAGACCTCACAGCATGAGCAAAACAGAGCAGATAAAATAGCATCTTGCCAACAATTAAACACCATTTCATTCTTTATAATGAAATCATAGTTAACAGTAGGTTTTAATTGGACAGAGCGGTGGGTAGTATGGCAGAGTTTAGGGAAGCAGCGCCATGAAGCCAAGGACATACACGCTGGGGAGGGTAAAGCTCAATCCAGACATATATTACATACCTCCTGGAGACCAAAATCACCCAAACAAAACAAATGAAGAAAAAAGACAAAAGAAACTACATTAAGCCATAAATCATTTTACTCATTTTATACCATAATTAGGCTATATTCTATACTGAACAAAAATAGAAACGCAACATGCAACAATTTCAACAATTTTACTGAGTTACAGTTCATATAATGAAATCAGTCAATTTAAATAAATGTATTAGTCCCTAATCTATGGATTTCACATGACTGGGCAGGGGCGCAGCCCTGGGTGGACCTGGGAGGGCATAGGCCCACCCACTGGGGAGCCAGGCCCAGCAAAAAGGGCTTTATTACAAACAGAAATATTCCTCAGTTTCATCAGCTGTCCGGGTGGCTGGTCTCAGACAATCGTGCAGGTGAAGAAGCCAGATGTGGAGGTCCTGGGCTGGCGTGGTTACACTTGGTCTGCAGTTGTGAGGCTGGTTGGACGTACTGTCAAATTCTCTAAAACGACGTTGGAGGCGGCTTATGATAGAGAAATAACATTACATTCTCTGGCAACAGCTCTGGTGGACATTCCTGCAGTCAGCATGCCAATTGCACGCTCCCTCAAAACTTGAGACATCTGTGGCATTGTGTTGTGTGACAAAACTGCACATTTTACAGCGGCCTTTTATTGTCTCCAGCACAAGGTGCACCTGTGTAATGATCATGCTGTTTAATCAGCTTCTTGATATGCCACATATGTCAAGTGGATGGATTATCTTGGCAAAGGAGAAATGCTCACTAACAGGGATATAAGCAAATTTGTGCACAACATTTTAGAGAAATAAGCTTTTTGTGCGTATGGAACATTTCTGGGATTTTTTATTTCAGCTCATGAAACATGGGACCAACACTTTACATGTTGCATTTATATTTTGGTTCAGTATGTATGACTGAGAAGACCAAACTGGAGAGTGTAGGTATGTATCTGTCCACCAGGGGGAGCAGTTGCAGCATCAATAAAACTGGCTGTCCTGTTCTCTACTGGATTTACTGTAAACTGCTAAATTGACTCTCACCTAGTTTGAGCAGCCAGCCCTCCCGGTCGGGGTTGAAAAAAGTGTGTGTGAGGTCGTTCCCATCATCCTCTGGGATCTTAAAGGGTTCATTCTTTATACTCTCATACAGGTTCTACAGAGAGAGAAAGGAATGGAAAGAAAGAGGAGAGAGAGAGAGAGAGAGAGAGAGAGAGAGAGAGAGACAGAGACAGAGACAGAGACAGAGACAGAGACAGAGACAGAGACAGAGAGACAACGAGAGAAAGAGCAAGAGAGACATCATTAGACGTTTGATGCAAACACAGGATGGTGGTATACTACAATTGAAGCTAGATCTACTCAGGGTTTTCTAAAGCTAACCAGCTTCACATTTCAGCTCAGGCTTCATCCGTACTACGACGTTGGATATTGCTCGTCCGCCTGCCGCTATCTCTAGCAGGCTTGTAACTGTGCATGCATGTCTCACGTGGCTAGTGGAACGCTAAACTCTCATTGAGATAATGCTGAAACATCAATCAATGGGTGAGTCAGTGTCACATTTTCATTTGTGCCGAAATCAAAATGAAAGAAAAGTTATCTAGCAAATTTAGCAGGCTATGGTGTGAAATAGGCTTGTTGAAGTGCAGTCTTTCTTTTATTATGTATCGTTAATGCTGTCTTTGGTGTGCTTATCATGAGCACCTTTTTTTATGAAATAAAATTATTAAAAGAGATTCTCCGGTACTTTTGTATACTTTTGTATAGCCAGTAGTTCTGTAAGTAGCACCAAAAGTGGTCTCCGAAAATGTGAGGGGCTGAAGCTCATTGGCTAGAACTCTAATTGCTAGGGGGCCAGCCCACGTGGGGGGAAATGTAGGGAAAATGGCACGGCACAGCTTCAAGAAAACAGTCACTTTCAAACTAGGGATTTCGTGGCTAATTGGGGTAAGACAGTAATTCTGCTAATAGATGACGCATGGATGAACCACACATTGACACATCCAGCCCAAAGCGGGAGGTTTAAAAAAGACTTTCTTAGTCGCCAATGTATCGGATGTCTTTAAGTCATGAACAAGTTTTACTGTGCCTGAAGTGTCAAATGCATTCTGTCATTACTAAATGTGTAATGTGACAGGCATTTTAACATTACTATTTTTAACACACAAAAAAACATTTAATTAATAACATATTCAAATGAAGGGGATGATGATGCAATCATTGCGAGAGGGAGGGAATCTGATTTCATTGGTCCTCAACTCGCAGCACACACACTTCATTCAGCATAAATTAAGTTAGCCATGAGTTAGCCCGCTTGGGAGCAGGTTAGTTCTGAAGGATTCGTTGCCATAGAAATTGACCTGGCTAAAAGGTGAGCCACTTTCATGGTACTGGTTATCCCGAGTTGAACTCAGAACTGACCAAAGTTACCTCGCTAACTCCTCAAACCACGTACGTAGTATAGGGCTCAGGTCCTCAGCCGATCCTAGTATACTATAGATGGAGGGACGAAGAAACAGGCATAGAAAAAGGAAAAGGGAGAGAGAGAGAGAGAGAGAGAGAGAGCTTGGTAGAAGGATAGAGGGATGGAGAGAGTGATGGGGGGAGATGGAGAGATACAGAGCGATAATTACCCTGAGTAGGTCCTCAGGTAAGTCTCCGCCATCGTTGATTCCTCTGTTCATGGCAGTGAATCTCTGGTGGGAGGGTTTGTCCTTCACATTGGGGTTATGGAGACTGGTGTTCAGCATGATCACAGCAAACGACAACACATAACACGTATCTGGAACACAGAGAGGGACGGGAAGGTCAGTGTGAGTGTGAGCGTGCGTGCGTACGTGCGTGTGTGTGTGTGTGGTGGCCTTTCTATACCGCTGTGCTGGAAGACTCCAGGGTTACAGTGACAGTATCGCTGGGCGAACGCCTCCATCATGCGGTCGATCTTCTGGGCTTCACCTGGCAACCGGAAACTCCACAGGAACTGCCTGGGGGAGAGGACACGCAAACATAAGAGTGTGTGGTTGTGTGTGGTAAGTGTGTGTGTGTGTGTGGACCAGAAGTCCCCACAAGAATAGTAAACAAACAAAAATGTGACGAACTGGGGACATTTTGTTGGTCCCCACAAGGTCAAATGCTATTTCTAGGGGGGTTAGGGTTAAGGTTAGGAGCTAGGGTTAGGTTTTTGGGTTAAGGTTAGGGTAAGAGTACGGGTTAGGGTTAGGGAAAATAGGATTTTGAATGGGACTGAATTGCGTGTCCCCACAAGGTTAGCTGTACAAGACTGTGTGTGTGTGTGTGTATATATATATATATATATATAGTGGGGGAAAAAAGTATTTAGTCAGCCACTAATTGTGCAAGTTCTCCCACTTAAAAAGATGAGAGAGGCCTGTAATTTTCATCATAGGTACACGTCAACTATGACAGACAAAATGAGAGAGAAAAAATCCAGAAAATCACATTGTAGGATTTTTTATGAATTTATTTGCAAATTATGGTGGAAAATAAGTATTTGGTCAATAACAAAAGTTTCTCAATACTTTGTTATATACCCTTTGTTGGCAATGACACAGGTCAAACGTTTTCTGTAAGTCTTCACAAGGTTTTCACACACTGTTGCTGGTATTTTGGCCCATTCCTCCATGCAGATCTCCTCTAGAGCAGTGATGTTTTGGGGCTGTCGCTGGGCAACACGGATTTTCAACTCCCTCCAAAGATTTTCTATGGGGTTGAGATCTCGAGACTGGCTAGGCCACTCCAGGACCTTGAAATGCTTCTTACGAAGCCACTCCTTCGTTGCCCGGGCGGTGTGTTTGGGATCATTGTCATGCTGAAAGACCCAGCCACGTTTCATCTTCAATGCCCTTGCTGATGGAAGGATGTTTTCACTCAAAATCTCACGATACATGGCCCCATTCATTCTTTCCTTTACACGGATCAGTCGTCCTGGTCACTTTGCAGAAAAACAGCCCCAAAGCATGATGTTTCCACCCCCATGCTTCACAGTAGGTATGGTGTTCTTTGGATGCAACTCAGCATTCTTTGTCCTCCAAACACGACGAGTTGAGTTTTTACCAAAACGTTCTATTTTGGTTTCATCTGACCGTATGACATTCTCCCAATCCTCTTCTGGATCATCCAAATGCACTCTAGCAAACTTCAGACGGGCCTGGATATGTACTGGCTTAAGCAGGGGGACACGTCTGGCACTGCAGGATTTGAGTCCCTGGCAGCGTAGTGTGTTACTGATGGTAGGCTTTGTTACTTTGGTCCCAGCTCTCTGCAAGTCATTCACTAGGTCCCTCCGTGTGGTTCTGGGATTTTTGCTCACCGTTCTTGTGATCATTTTGATCCCACGGGGTGAGATCTTGCGTGGAGCCCCAGATCGAGGGAGATTATCAGTGGTCTTGTATGTCTTCCATTTCCTAATAATTGCTCCCACAGTTGATTTCTTCAAACCAAGCTGCTTACCTATTGCAGATTCAGTCTTCCCAGCCTGGTGCAGGTCTACAATTTTGTTTCTGGTGTCCTTTGACAGCTCTTTGGTCTTGGCCATAGTGGAGTTTGGAGTGTGACTGTTTGAGGTTGTGGACAGGTGTCTTTTATACTGATAACAAGTTCAAACAGGTGCCATTAATACAGGTAACGAGTGGAGGACAGAGGAGCCTCTTAAATATGAAGTTACAGGTCTGTGAGAGCCAGAAATCTTGCTTGTTTGTAGGTGACCAAATACTTATTTTCCACCATAATTTGCAAATAAATTCATTAAAAATTCTACAATGTGATTTTCTGGAAAAAAAAATCTCAATTTGTCTGTCATAGTTGACGTGTAGCTATGATGAAAATTACAGGCCTCTCATCTTTTTAAGTGGGAGAACTTGCACAATTGGTGGCTGACTAAATACTTTTTTCCCCCACTGTATATATTCCCTTCACAGAACAGCACAAACTGGCTCTAACCAGAATAGAAAGAGGAGTGGGAGGCCCCGGTGCATAACTGAGCAAGTGCACAAATACATTAGTGTCTAGTTTGAGAAACAGACACCTCACAGGTCCTCAACTGGCAGCTTCATTAAATAGTATCTGCAAAACACCAGTCTCAACGTCAACAGTGAAGAGGCGACTCCGGGATGCTGACCTTCTAGGCAGAGTTGCAAAGAAAAAGCAATTTCTCAGACTGGCCAATAAAAATAAAAGATTAAGATGGGCAGTCTGAGATATGGCTTTTTCTTTACAACTCTGCCTAGAAGGTCAGCATCCCGGAGTCGCCTCTTCACTGTTGACGTTGACACTGGTATTTTGCAGGTACTATTTAATGAAGCTGCCAGTTGAGGACCTGTGAGGTGTCTTTTTCTCAAACTAGACACTAATATATTTGTGCTCTTGCTCAGTTGTGCACCGGGGCCTCCCACTCCTCTTTCTATTCTGGTTAGAGCCAGTTTGCGCTGTTCTGTGAAGGGAGTAGTACACAGCGTTGTACGAAATCTTCAGTTTCTTGGCAATTTCTTGCATGGAATAGCCTTCATTTCTCAGAACAAGAATAGAATGACGAGTTTCAGAAGAAAGTTATTTGTTTCTGGCCATTTTGAGCCTGTAATCGAACCCACAATTGCTGATGCTCCAGATACTCAACTAGTCTCAAGAAGGCCAGTTTTATTGCTTCTTTAAAATCAGCACAACAGTTTTCAGCTGTGCTAACATAATTGCAAAAGGGTTTTCTAATGATCAATTAGCCTTTTAAAATGATAAACTTGGATTAGCAAACACAACGTGCCACAGGACCGATGGTTGCTGATAATGGGCCTCTGTACGCCTATGTAGATATTCCATAAAAAAATCAGCCGTTTCCAGCTACAATAGCCATTTACAACATTAACAATGTCTACACTGTATTTCTGATCAATTTGATGTTATTTTAATGAACAAAAAATTTGCTTTTCTTTCGAAAACAAGGACATTTCTAAGTGACCCCAAACTTTTGAACGGTGGTGTATATATTTATATATATATATATATATATATATATATATATATATATATATATATATATATATATATATATATGTGTGTGTGTGTGTGTGTTACCTGAGGGCCTGGACCAGGTTAAGGTCATTAAACTCATGCAGCTCCACAAAGGCTTGTAGAACCTCAAGATTGAAATCCTCTCTACAGAAACACATACAGACAAACAGTATTTAGGTGTATAGCCATAAAAGCAAATAGATCAGGGTCACGTTCAGTAGGGAATACTGTAGCTAAATGTTTTGAAACTGAAAAGTAGTGTTTCTTATTGGACAAGTTCACGCAGTTTCTTCGTGTTTCATTCCATATCAGAATGTTTCTTGCCAACTGAACAGGACCCAGGTTAGTTAAGGAGATTTATCAGAGAACAGCTCTGCAACCAGAAACATACCCAAATATAATCTAATAGATTAAATCTATAAACTCCTAATCCTTGCCTCCTCTCTGTGGTCAGCACATGTGTGTCCCCAGACAGAATGGGCCAAATCAATATCACTGAGTTGAGAATGCATTAACCCAGGGTTTCCCAACCTCCCCCCTCCCCGCTCACACACACACACACACACACACACACGTTTCTCACCTCTCCCCCAGATAGTCTCCGATGGCAGTCTTGTTTAGCCCCTCCCCTTTATAGAGGAACTGGGCAATGACGTCGCTGGTGTTCTTCAGCAGACCGCTGTCAATCAAAAACCGGATCCCCTGATTGATGGTACACACAGCCAATCAGAACACAGAACCACAGCACCAATCACAGCACAGAGTGGGGGATAGAGGCTGGTTTACGATTGGGTTTCACCTTCTTGGGGTCCATGTTGAACTTCTTGCACCCCATGGACACCTGCTTGTTTCTCTGCATGCTTTTCCTACAGATATGACAGTCATTAAAGCGGAACTGACAGCGTTTTAGCAACATGAAATCTTATTAAAATCTGTTCATATACACCCCCAGGTAGAATATGACACCTTTTTTTTTACATTTTCTGACAAGCGAGCGCTTAAATATAGTCATTTTCACATTCTCATAAATGTTTAGAATGTTTGGTAATGATGTACAGTAAGGCATTTGTGAAAATTCTATATCAATATAGATTGGGAAAGAGGCCGTTGGTTGGACAATTAATATAGACACTGCAGTTAATAAAACCTAATGAAAACATCTGTCTTGTCCAGGACCGGAGTCTATGCAGACCGGTGTGCCATAGCCAATCAGAGCTACCGTAGGCCTTTTTGCAAACAAGCCATTTGCCACATGGGCCTGCCATCATTCACTTTGACCTGGACTGTGTGTTTACAGGCAGTAGCAACAGCACGACTTTAGATCATTAGAAAGCATTCGCCAAAAGCCACAAAATACACCTGAATGGATTTCTGCAAATATGTACACTGAACAAAAATATAAAACGCAACATGTAAAGTGTTGGTCCCATGTTTCATTAGCTGAAATAAAAGATCCCAGAAATTGTTCACGCACAAAAAAGCTTATTTCTCTAAAATTGTCCACAAATTTGATTACATCCCTGTTAGTGAGCATTTCTCCTTTGTCCAGATAATCCATCCACCTGACAGGTGTGACATATAAAGAAGCTGATTAAACAGCATGTTCATTACACAGGTGCACCTTGTGCTGGGACAATAATAGGCCACTAAAAAGGCCACTACCATAAACTGCCTCCAATGTCGTTTTAGAGAATTTGGCGGTACGTCCAACCAGCATCACAACTGCAAACCACGTGTAACCATGCCAGCCCAGAACCTCCACTTTCAGCTTTTTCACCTGCAGGACCGAGTTTGGGAAACCCTGGATTAGCATTCTCAACTCAGTGATATTGATTTGGCCCATTCTGTCTGGACACACACATGTGCTGGCCACAGAGAGGAGGCAAGGATTAGGAGATTATAGATTTAAACACAGCTGATGAAACTGTTGGTTTGCACAACCAAATCATTTCTGTACAAACTGTCAGAAACCGTCTCAGGGAAGCTCATCTGCGTGCTCGTCATCCTCACCAGGGTCTTGACCTGACTGCAGCTCGGCGTCGTAACTGACTTCAGTGGGCAAATGCTCACCTTCGATGGCAACTGGCACATTGGAAAAGTGTGCTCGTCACAGATTAAACCCGGTTTCCACTGTACGGGGCAGATGGCAGACACAATTCCTGGAAGCTGAAAATGTCCCAGTTCTTCCATGGCCTGCATACTCACCAGATGTCACCCATTGAGCTTGTTTGGGATGCTCTGTATCGACGTGTATGACAGCTTGTTCCAGTTCCCGCCATAATCCAGTAACTTCGCACAGGAGTGGGACAACAATTCTTGATCAATTCCTGATCAATTCTATGCAAAGGAGATGTGTCGCGCTGCATGAGGCAAATGGTCACACCAGATACTGACTGACTGTTTTCTGATCCACGTCTCTACTTTGTTTTTAAGGTATCTGTGATCAACAGATGTATCTCTGTATTCCCAATCATGTGAATTCCAAAAATTAGGGCCTAATTTATTTATTTCAATAGACAGATTTTTCTTATATGAACTGTAACTCAGTAAAATCTTTGAAATTGTTGCATGTTGCATTTATATTTTTGTTTGTGTAAATATCACAGGAGTCCTCTAACATTTGGGAACTTTACAGTCCTATTGATCAAACAACCATGAAAAGGTAGGCTCTCTCTCTCCCTCAGTTATGCCCATAAACAAGATCAACAACTAATGATAGCCAGAGCGAGGGCTACCAGAGCGAGAGCCAGCATTCAACACACATAATGCATAGCGAATTTAATGTTTAATAAAATTATCGAAACCGAAAATCGTGATTATTTTTAAATAATCGAACCGAAACGACTTCAAAAATAACTAATCGCTCAGCACTAGGCCTTTAGAACACTATAACGCCTTTGTAAACCATTCATAAAGCTTTTATACACACTTTATAGATAGTCCTTTTGTACATTTTATAGGGCACAAACATTAAGGACACCTTCCTAATATTGAGTCGTCCCCCCCCTTTTTTGCCCTCAACTCGTCGGGCCATGGACTCTACAAGGTGTCGAAAGCTTTCCACAGAGATGCTGGTCCATGATGATTCCAATGCTTTCGACAGTTGTGTCAAGTTGGCTGGATGTCCTTTGGGTGATGGACCATTCTTGATACACATGGGAAACTGTTGAGCATGAAAAACCCAGCAGCGTTGCAGTTCTTGACACACTCAAACCGGTGCGCCTGGCACCTACCACCATACCCCGTTCAAAGGCACTTTGACTCTTTTGTCTTGCCCATTCACCCTCTGAATGGCACACATACACAATCCATGTCTCAATTGTCTCAAGGCTTAAAAATCGTTATTTAATTTATAGAGTCATATTATGAGCTCTAAAGACGTCATACATGTTATTAACACCATCACTCAATTAACAGCCCCATTCACCCATTTAGGTGTCTGTAGCCTTGGGGCGACCACTGTCCCAGACCCATCAATGTCTTCGAGGAGAGACACACACACACACACACATTATTACCAATACTATGGGTCAGTGGGTGGGGAGGTCAGGGACACTTCACTAAGGATGATTCTACTCCCTCCCCCAACACCAACACCCATCACCACGGTGTCTACTCCCTCCCCCAACACCCACAGCCATCACCCCGGTGTCTACTCCCTCCCCCAACACCCACAGCCATCACCCCGGTGTCTACTCCCTCCCCCAACACCCACACCCATCACCACGGTGTCTACTCCCTCCCCCAACACCCATCACCACGGTGTCTACTCCCTCCCCCAACACCCACACCCATCACCACTGTGTCTACTCCCTCCCCCAACACTATCACATCTACTCCCTCCCCCAACACCCACACCCATCACCACTGTGTCTACTCCCTCCCCCAACACTATCACATCTACTCCCTCCCCCAACACCCACACCCATCACCACTGTGTCTACTCCCTCCCCCAACACTATCACATCTACTCCCTCCCCCAACACCCACACCCATCACCACTGTGTCTACTCCCTCCCCCAACACTATCACATCTACTCCCTCCCCCAACACCCACACCCATCACCACTGTGTCTACTCCCTCCCCCAACACTATCACATCTACTCCCTCCCCCAACACCCACACCCATCACCACTGTGTCTACTCCCTCCCCCAACACTATCACATCTACTCCCTCCCCCAACACCCACACCCATCACCACTGTGTCTACTCCCTCCCCCCAACACTATCACATCTACTCCCTCCCCCAACACCCATCACCACGGTGTCTACTCCCTCCCCCAACACCCATCACCACGGTGTCTACTCCCTCCCCCAACACCCATCACCACTGTGTCTACTCCCTCCCCCAACACTATCACATCTACTCCCTCCCCCAACACCCACACCCATCACCACTGTGTCTACTCCCTCCCCCAACACTATCACATCTACTCCCTCCCCCAACACCCACACCCATCACCACTGTGTCTACTCCCTCCCCCAACACTATCACATCTACTCCCTCCCCCAACACCCATCACCACGGTGTCTACTCCCTCCCCCAACACCCATCACCACGGTGTCTACTCCCTCCCCCAACAGCCATCACCACGGTGTCTACTCCCTCCCCCAACACCCATCACCACGGTGTCTACTCCTTCCCCCAACACCCACAGCCATCACCACGGTGTCTACTCCCTCCCCCAACACCCACAGCCATCACCACGGTGTCTACTCCCTCCCCCAACACCCACAGCCATCACCACACAAAGGGTACAACACAGTACATACAGTCCATTACTCAGTAGAGCTGCAGACAATCACACACAAACACAAAGGCAATAACAGGACATGGAAACACACACACACCTCTCTTTGGTAATGCCCAGGTTGTCAATTTCATTCGGCACTTCTGCTATCTCATCCTTCAGCCTCTAGATGGAGGGAGAGAGAGAGAGAGAGAGAGAGAGAGAGAGAGAGACGGAGAAATAGAGAGACGGAGAGAGAGCGAGACAGAGAGAGAGAAAGGGAGAGAGGATGAGTGTATGGTACAGTTAGATCTCTTTGATCTATCAGTCACTCAATCACACACACACCAGAGAAATTTGACCCTCCCTCAATCCCACAGAGCAGCTTTGATCCATCTTCAGATAATACTAATACCCAAGGTACTAAAAGGGAGGGAGGGAGGAATAAAGGCGAGAGCGAGAGAGAAGAGAAAGAGAGAGAAGTTTGTGTAATTGGCGTATGGATGGAGTGTCTTTATAAGAAGTAAACCAACTGTGAAATATCTGCTTCTGAACAAGAGGTTTCCAGGGTTCTGACAGGAGACATACATGTACTATATATGTTGTGTAAGAGATTATAAGTGTAGGTAGTCCTCTGGGTTGTGTGCAGAGTGAGTAAATCTTCTACAGATGGTCCCCCACAGGGAACTGGTGCACCTTCTGCTAGCTGGGGTCAAACCAGACCAACCCTCCCTCCTCCAGCC